TCTGCACCAAAAAATTAAAATTTATGCACACAATATTTTGAAATTCTGCATATTTTGTAAATAAATGTGGCTCCAGCGTGGCAGTGGGGAGCAGAGGCCACTGGCTGCATTAGGGGCTTCACGGTGATCTCCCACCTTACCTCTCCCAGTACAGGAACTCAGTAGTGAGGCTGCACCTGACCCTGACAGTGCAAGGGCTGGGCCTGCCCCAGAAACACCCCAGGGCCCTGCCTCTCTGTGCCGGGCATACCAGGTGTGGCTGGGCAGGCTCAGCCCAGCAGGATCCGAGCAGATCGAGGGACGTGATCGTCCCCCTCTATTCGACATTGGTGAGGCCTCATCTGGAGTACTGAGTCCAGTTTTGGGACCCACACCACAAGAAGGATGTGGATAAATTGGAGAGAGTCCAGTGAAGGGCAACAAAAATGATTAGGGGTCTGGAACACATGAGTTATGAGGAGAGGCTGAGGGAACTGGGATTGTTTAGTCTGCAGAAGAGAAGAATGAGGGGGAATTTGATAGCTGCTTTCAACTACCTGAGAGGTGGTTCCAGAGAGGATGGTTCTAGACTATTCTCAGTGGTAGAAGAGGACAGGACAAGGAGTAATGGTCTCAAGTTGCAGTGGGGGAGGTTTAGGTTGGATATTAGGAAAAACTTTTCCACTAGGAGGGTGGTGAAACACTGGAATGCGTTACCTAGGGAGGTGGTAGAATCTCCTTCCTTAGAAGTTTTGAAGGTCAGGCTTGACAAAGCCCTGGCTGGGATGATTTAATTGGGGATTGGTCCTGCTTTGAGCAGGGGGTTGGACTAGGTGACCTCCTGAGGTCCCTTCCAACCCTGATACTCTATGATTCAAATGTGGAGGGGCTTAGCGTGGGGGGGATCCAGATGTGGGGTGAGAGGTTTCTCTGTGGGGTAATCATGGTGCGGGCAGTGGGAGATCTGGATGCACAGGGGCAATGGGACTGTGCAGGGGATCCAGGTGATGGTGGTTGGGCTCAGTGGGGGAGTCTGGGTGTAGGGAGATGGGGTTTGGCAGGGGGGGTGTCTGGGTGCTGGGGGAGTGGGGCTTGTTGGGGTGGGGGCCCAGGGTGCAGCTGGTTGGGGCTCATTGGGGTGGGGGCCCAGGGTGCGAGGGGGGTTGTCGGAGTCCATGTGTAGTGGGGTAGGGCTTCTCAGGGTGAGGGTTTGTTGAACCTGCTTAACAGGGGAGCCCCAGCTGCTGCTGAGGAGACACTGCATGCTGGGTTCCCACATTTTCCACCCTCTCATTCCCCTTCCCTCATTTCCCCCCACCCCTCTTACCCAATCCCACTGTGGGCACTCACTGCTCCACAGAAAACAGTGAGGGATTGTCCTCCAGGATAGGTTGTTGATCCTTGATGATGGGGGCTGAAGGTGATGGCTAGTGGCGTTCTGTTACTTTCTTTGTTGGGCCTGTCCTGTAGTAGGTGACTTCTGGGTACCCTTCTGCCTCTGTTAGTCTGTTTCTTCACTTCCCCAGGTGGGTATTGTAGTTTTAAGATAGGTTTCAGAGTAACAGCCGTGTTAGTCTGTATTCGCAAAAAGAAAAGGAGTACTTGTGGCACATTAGAGACTAACCAATTTATGTGAGCATAAGCTTTCGTGAGCTACAGCTCACTTCATCGGAAGTGAGCTGTAGCTCACAAAAGCTTATGCTCACGTAAATTGGTTAGTCTCTAAAGTGCCACAACTACTCCTTGTAGTTTTAAGAATGCTTGATCGAGATTCTGTAGGTGTTTATCTCTGTCTGAGGGATTGGAGTAAATGTGGTTGTATTTTAGGGCCTGATTGAATTGGCCTCGTTAGCACTACAAAAAGTAATTTTCCTTCTGATATTCACCCCTTCTTGTCAACTGTTGGGAATGGGCCACATCCACCCTGATTGAATTGGCCTCATTAGCACTGACACCCCCCCCCCTTGGTAAGGCAACTCCCATCTTTTCATGTGCTGTATATTTATACTGTATTTTTTAACTCCATGCGTCTGAAGTGGGTTATAGCCCACGAAAGCTTATGCCCAGATAAATTTGTTAGTCTCTAAGGTGCCACAAGGACTCCTTTTCTTTTTGCAAATACAGACTAACACGGCTGCTACTCTGAAACCATTCTTTGTATAGGCCTTTTTCACCCCTATTAAAATGGAAATTCTGGTGCAATCTTAATAGAAGTACTATCACCTCAATATAATGTACACAGCTCTACTTTCAATTATGACTCTAGGTAGCTGATCATTGATGTGTGCCACTTTAACATAATATTTTAAAAGTTGAATTACTAAACTCTAGTCCTGACACTGATTCTGGTTGGCATGTTTGAACAGTTAGATGCACATGTTGCCGCAGAATCCACCTTTTTAATGGTGGTCACAAGAATTGGAGTGTTACCCCAGTCTTGTCTAGATTCTAATTTAAGTGACTTATATCTACCTAAATTTCATCCTTCCATTTGATATATAAACAAAAATTCCCAAACCTACTTTGTTTCCCCTCCAAACCTGTTAGGTGATTTCTGGGGCAGATTTTCTACCATGCTTTGCAGAGCTAGCTGTATCTTAGTTGTGAATAAGTGTACAATTCCCAATGTATTTTGGGATCCTTCAGTTTGCCCGGCACTAACCTGACAAGTTATTTGATGAGTCTGTTTAGGTTTATTATGTACCAAAATTTAAGTAACTTATATCCAGCTAATACAAAATATTAAAGTATACTGATCATGGGAGGAAAACCAGAAGACAGTATTGTGGAAGCTCCGTGTAGATAAGATGTCAATGCAGATGTGATTGATAAAGTTAAGGATCAGGGCAGAGGAGAGACCCTGAAATTTGACTATTAAGAGATTATTGATGACTTCTAGAAATTGGAGGGGATCAAGGATGGAGTTGGAGGAAAAGAACTTCGCAATTTTTGTAGAAGTTTTAACCATTTTAACATGGTCTCAGTACTATGTTCTGTTGTATCTTTGCCGATTACAAAAAATGAAATGTAGTCACTCACTTTCTATCTTGACTGGAAGCAACTGATTTGTCTGCAGTTCAGGAGTCAAGGACTATAAGTAGTGCCAGAAAGATATTAGGGTGGGGAGGCAGATATGTGCAGCAGTTTCATTCTTGTTCAGACTCGGCAATAGAAACTGCAGCATGAAAATGTACAGCCAACTTTTATGCCTGCAGATGAACAGCAGGAGCTTCAGGTCTGTAAAGTCCGGATTGAAAATGATGGGAATCATACGATGGCGAGAGATGGAATAGGTTGGATTTGAGGAATTCTCTGCTTGGCCATCTAGCTAAGCCCCCTGCACTAGGTCAGCATATCATAATGTTTCTTAAGGGTTGTGGGCGTAAAGTCTTAGGCCTTGTCTACACTACAGAGTTTTGTTGACAAAAGTTATCTTTTGTCAACAAAACAATGGAGATGTAGGCAGTATAATTCAACTTCCACCAACAAAGCTCTCCTGCTTTGCCAACAAAATAAAACCACCTCAATGAGAGGTGTTGAGCTTTTTGTGGTAAAGTTATATGGTCAAAGTGTTAGTGTAGACATTGCACTTGGTTATGTTGCTGTAAATTGCTTCCAGGAGGTGTCCCATAATGCCCATCCTGACCACTCTGGTCAGCAGTTCGAACTCAACTGCCTTGCACCCAGGTACACAGGTATCTGCACCTTCACCTTTAAAGGTCCAGGAATTTTTGTATTCCACTTCCTGTTTGCTTGGCATGGAGAGCTCACATAGCATCTTTCCAGCTGATCATGGCGGTTCCATGCAGCAAATACTCTCCTGCTTTGAGCACACCTGAGTTGTTGGATCTGCTTTCTCTGTGGGGAGTGGAGGCTGTGAAGTCCCAGCTTAAATTCAGCTGTAGGAACTTTGATACCTACTGTCAGATTTCTCGTGGCATGTTGGATAAGGGCTATGAACAGGGCATGCATCAGTGCCATGTGAAGATAAAATAACTGAGGCAGATGTACCAGAAGGCAAGGGAGTCAAACTGTTGCTCTAGTGCTGTACTGGAGACCTGCCATTTCTATAAGGAGCTGGACACCATCCGCGGTGGTGACCCCACCTTCACCATCAAGATCCCTGAGGATACTTGCGGGGTGGGAGGGCAACAGCTGGAGACAGCAGACAGTGGACTCAACCCCAAGGACGAAGTCGTGGACAAGGAGGTTGAGTTGGAGGACGAGATGGGACAGGCAACAAGGTCATCTGGTACTGCGGCAAGCCAGGGCCTTTTCTTGACCCAGGCAGGTTTGAGCCAGTCCCAACAATCTGTCTCTGGTGTGCATGAAGCAGGAAAGGGGAGCTCTGGTAAGTGATCTTTTTGAGTTGACGCTGCTTTGTTATGTGCTAGAAGTGGGTGAAGGGACAGAAATGTACAAGACTAGCTGTGTTTGCATGTGATTTGCATCCCCCTGTACAACTAAGCAGTGAGGCAGAACAGTGTGTTAATGCACACTGAGATTTCATGGAATCTGCTAGAGAGATCGCTCGGCAACTTTCCTGGAAGTACTCACTAATCCTCTGTTGAAGGTTCCTTGGCAGAGCTGCTTTGTTCCTTCCCCCATTGTATGAAACTTTCCTGCACCAATCAGGAATTACTTGTGCAGGGACCAAAACAGCACAGAGGCGAGCTGCATAGGGATCCGAGCCAGATAGATGCAGGAGATGCCTCCTTGCTTACCTGCAGGAGTGAGATATTGACTTCTATGATCTCTGTCTGGAAAATTGGTGGTAGAATTTACAATTTTGTCCCTAGTTGCTTGCAGTGATCCTCTGAAAAAACCTCCCAGACCTTTTGCCCCATCTTGAGCGCTCTCCCTCCCCTGGACGAACTCACCATGTTTAGGGCGTTGGCTGAGCTGTGTGCCTGCCAAGGGACAGTGAGAAATTGATTTCAGATTTTAAAAGGTGCATTTTACTATGATTTGAAGCTGTGAATGCACTAACAAGCATGGTTCTGTTTGTTGTGTTTGTGCAGATGTGGCCTTCAGGGGAACCCACTACATGCCGGCAGAGTGCCTCTGCCAGGTAAGGAAGCCAAGGAGGACATGCTTTGAGATGTTCTTCAATCCTCAGATGCTGAGAAACAAGAACACAAGGGTGTGGAGAGACAATAAGTGAAAATTATAAAATAGGCAGGACAGCAAGGAGAGCCAGGAGCGAATTTTAATGGCCCAGGAGCAGATGATAAAAGTGATGGAGGACCAAATGGAGATGTTGAAGTCTGTAATCATGCTGTAGGCAGAACACATGCGTGCTCTTCTCTCTCCCCTCCCATCCCCCTGTAGCTGATACAGAGATGCTTGTCATGCCTTCCCCAAACTCCTCTCAGACATTTCTTGCATCTTCCCAGCCCGTCTCAGTACCCTGTTCACTCCACCCCTTCAGACAGTTTCCAAAATGATAGCTGGAGTAACACATAGCTATGAGAACCTACATCAGGACACTGCCCTTCACTGTTATCTCCCTTTCCACTGAGCATTTTCTCTGTGTTTTTAATTGGTGTTTAATAAAAACATACTCTCTGAAAAATAATCAGTCTTCATTTGTCTCCTACACACAGTGGTTGCTGCTGGAATTAATACACAGTTGCAATCTGATCATTTGCTGACTACAAATCACTATCAGGAATCATCAAAATTTTCATGCAAGGTGGCGAGTTAACAAAGCATGGCAGAGTGCTGGATAGCAAGACACATTGCTGGTGCTCATTGTCAAAATGGTGCCTAAAAGGCTCCAGGATTCAAATAGCCCTCTGTTGTGCCCCTATAATAGCCCTGGTTCTGGCTGCTCAAAATCAGCCGCCAGGTGATCCGCATCCATGCTCCACCCTGAGGAAAACTTTTCACCCTTAGCCTCACAAATAGTATGCAGCACACAGCAGGTTGCTATGACCATGGGAATATTTTCCTCATTTAGGTCTAATCTGCCATAAAGGCAGTGCCAGTGTGCTTTTAATCTTCCAAAAGCACATTCTACGGTCATTCTGCATTTGCTCAGCCTGTTGTTGAAGTGCTCCTTGCTGCTGTCCAGGTTTCCTATGTAAGGCTTCATGAGCCATGGGAGTAAAGGGTATGCTGGGTCTCCCAGGATCACTTTGGGCATTTCAACATCCCCCATTGGAATCTTGTCTGGAAAGAAAGTCTCTGCTTGCAGCTTTCTGTACAGGCCAATGCTCCTGAAGATGTGTGCGTCATGCACCTTCCCGGACCAGCCCGCATTGATGTCAGTGACACACCCACAATGATCCACAAGTGCCTGCAATGCCATAGAGAAATACCCCTTTCTATTGATGTACTCCTTTGCAAGATAGTCTGGGGCCAAAATTGGGGTATGTGTGCCATCTATCGCCGTGCCACAGTTAGGAAATCCCATTGCCTCAAAGCCATCCACTGTATCACACACATTTCCAAGAGTCACAGTTTTTTGTAGTAGAATGTCCTGCACACTTGCGATAATGCAGTCCCAACTATGGACACCAAACTGATTCGCGACCTGACTGGTAGCAGTCTAGAGTTGCCAGTTTCCACAGAGTGATCGCCACATGTTTCTCCACTGAGAGGGCAGCTCTCATTTTGGTGTCCTTGTGCCGCAGTGCTGGGCCAAGCTCCACGCATTGTTCTAGGAAGGTGGCTTTCTGCATCTGAATGTTCTGCAGCCACTGCTCATCATTCCAGATCTGCATAACGATGCAAGCCCAAAAGCGACGGTCCACCATGTTTCAGAGTAGCAGCCGTGTTAGTCTGTATTCGCAAAAAAAAAAAAAGTACTTGTGGCACCTTTTAGAGGCTAACAAATTTATTTGAGCATAAGCTTTTGTGAGCTACAGTTCACTTCATCGGATGCCTGCAGTGGAAAATACAGTGGGGAGAAATGTGCAGCAGCTCAGTGAATGGCAAATGTAATCTGGTGGTGTTTCTCTCCATTGCACACAGCAGGTCAGGCACCTCAGATTCCTGTTTAGATTGGGAGCTGCTCATGATATACTGCATGACCAGCCATGACTTAGTCATAACAGTGACCACAACCGTAGAGAGCAGTGCAGGATCCATCCTTTCAGACAAAGAGGGCGGGCGCACTGTAAACAGGCTGTTGAAAAATGGCACCGACCACAGTCGGAAGCCCATGGAGTGATGGAACAGAAAAAGCTGCATCATGGGATGTTGAGCCCGTATCCATGATGCTCTGTGATCCACTCTGCCTTCCCACAACTCCTAGCCTCTAGCCGCAGAAGGTAGCGAGTGGCACAGTGGGATAGGTACCCAGTGCATTACTCTGATGCTAGAGCTCCGCTGATGGGAGTGTTATGTGAACGTGCACAAGTGATGTAATTAGAGTAGGTTTTGATCGTTTGGCGTAACTTGCATCGACACAACTCTGAAGTGTAGACAAGGCCTTAATCTCTGATCTCTCCAGTAGTGATTCTACAACCTGCTTTTGGAAGCTTATTTTACTAATGAACTCTTTTGGTATTAGGGTTTTCCTAGTACTTAACATGAGCTTTCTTTGCTGCAGCTCATTAGTTCCTGCCTGTTCCGTCAATGATTAGTGAGAATAATCTGTTCTTGGTCTCTTTAGAACAGTTCTTTGTGTATTCAGAGTGACATGGTAGCAGTCTGATTATATTTCGAAGAACAGATGTACCAAGTTTTCCTCCTAGGTTCTATATTCTAAACCTTTTATTGGTGTGGTCTGAATACTCTACAGTACTAGCAAAAAGAAAAGGAGTACTTGTGGCACCTTAGAGACTAACCAATTTATTTGAGCATAAGCTTTCGTGAGATACAGCTCACTTCATCTCACGAAAGCTTATGCTCAAATAAATTGGTTAGTCTCTAAGGTGCCACAAGTACTCCTTTTCTTTTTGCGAATACAGACTAACACGGCTGTTCCTCTACAGTACTAGGTAACTGGTGCTGAGTGAATGAATTACTTTACTTGTTTTATAGGCAGTATTCATACATCTTACTAGCGCATTTGCCTCATCTGCATTGAATCATATTCAGTTTAACTCCTAGAGCCTTCTCTGTGTTACTACTGCTTAGGTGGTAGAGAACAAGGATAGCATGGAGTGGGCCAAGCAGTGTGATACCACAAGTGACAGAGAACATCTTGCTGTGGGGCACAAGACCGCAAATCCCTTTCTCTGCAGTCAAGTCCTAAAGACTCGTTTAGATTACCTACAAGAAATTATCTGGCTGATTAAGGCTAGGTTGTAGGTATTCAGCTAATTTATTTTTATTTAGCTAAATAATCAGGATGTGTCCAATTGCCATGTGACCACTCTATTTGTATGTTGTACCTCTTTTTCCTCTCCTCTACTTCTACTGTTTCTTTCTAGAGCAGAGGGTCTCAAACTGGGAGGGCTATGGAATACGTTTTCGGGTGTGTGTGAGAAACTTGGGGGATGGGGATCCTCACTGTGCACATTTTACCCACAGTAACAAACAACTAGCAAAGCTGATTCCTTCGGACAGATCAGATCTTCAGATGGCGCTGTGCATTTTGATGCTATTCTTTTAAGCTTAAATAGCATTATACAAGTCGTTGCCATCTGTACATTAATCAGTTTATGATTCAGTGTGCACATTTAACTTTAAGCATTGCAATTTCCATTTTGCCCTTATTAAAATGGATCGTTGGCGCTGTTTGAATCAATGCCTTACTGTTTTTAATATTTAATGAGAGTTGCATGTTTGTTTTTTATTGGTATATGTACTTGTTGGGGGGGGGGGGGAGGGATAAACTCCTACAGACACAAAGGAGGGCATGATCAAATAAGTTTGAGAACCAGTGTTCTAGAGTGTAGGCTGCCTCTTTATGTGTGTTTAGCATCTAGCATGCTGTGTCCGCTACCAAAAATAAATTATTAGAAATGTTGAGGGCATTGTATTAGAGAAACCTTCTACACTTTTTGTTTTAAAATTCCTATAAGTGAGTGACTTTGTTTTGTCTCTTTCGGCAGGATTCTCCATTTCTGGGTAAAGAATGCAGACAATAAAGTGTGTAGTTGTTGGAGATGGTGCGGTGGGAAAGACCTGTCTTCTCATCAGCTACACCACCAATGCCTTTCCAGAGGAGTACATACCCACTGTGTTTGACAACTATAGTGCCCAGATGACTGTGGATGGCCGGACAGTTAGTCTAAATCTCTGGGACACTGCAGGCCAGGAGGAATATGACCGTCTACGTACCCTCTCATACCCTCAAACCAATGTATTTGTCATCTGTTTTTCCATTGGAAGTCCCTCCTCTTATGCAAATGTTCGGCACAAATGGCACCCTGAAGTCTCTCACCACTGTCCTAATGTTCCAATCCTTTTAGTTGGCACCAAAAGGGACTTACGAAGTGATGTGGAAACCGTTAAAAAGCTGAAGGAGCAAAGCTTGGCTCCCACTACCCCACAACAGGGAACTTCACTGGCCAAACAGATTGGAGCAGTAAAATATTTGGAATGCTCAGCTCTGAACCAGGAGGGGGTTCGAGAGGTGTTTGCTGAAGCTGTGCGCGCAGTTTTATACCCAGTGGCAAAGAAAAACACAAAAAAGTGTGTCCTGTTGTAGTTGCCGAAGACGATGGATATTTGAAGTGAAATGAAGACTGACGGGGATCTTGGCGGGCTCCTTTCTTTTTTTTAATTGAAGATTTGCATCTTGCACTAACAGGTCTAAACAGAAATGGTTCATGCAAAGTATATTCTTGCAGTTTGGTAACTGCTTCAGGGAAACTGAGACAAACCAGTTCATTCCAGCCTAGTGAGAGACTGATGAAATATCTATCCATCTTCTAAAGTTCCAGAGTCTCCAGCATCTCCAGAGTTCAGTTGGCTTCCATTCTTTTCAATAGAAGAGGATGAGGGGACTTCTTCAAAGCCAAACTTTTCCTTTACTAGACAAACTTCAGTTATTGGCCTTGCTGAAAGCGACAGATATTGATAATTTTGCTTTAAATATAGTTCCTGCTGCTTCTGGCCCTTACTGATTCATCAACTTGGTCTACCAGACAAGAGCCTGGCTTTCTAATTATTGCCTTAATTTGACATCATGAAATTTGAAAACCATTTGTCTAAATTTAAAAATGCTGAAACCTTCAATATTAATATGAGACTTACTTTATAGTGAAGAATGTGATTACTTGTATGAAAAGTTAATGAAAACCAATCATGTTTGGTCCAGTGTTTCAGACATAAGGAACTCCTGAAATGGTTACATTAGTATTAAGATCAGAAGTTGGCACCTCCTGATATGTGGAATTCTAGATGACAGTAACTCAAATAAATGATTCTGTGGTGGTTTAGGAACAGAGAGGTGAGATGGTAACAAAATGCAGGTCTGCCATAGTTGTCTTAACTGTATTAGGGTTTCTCTTCCCCCTCTAAAGAGTATTTTAAATTTTGAGAGTGGAGTTATTGTTCTCTCTTCAAACTGCTTGAGGTAATTGGGATGACATTCTCAAAGTGGATTTCCTAGTATGACCTGCATACTTGTACATGTACATTCCCCTGCCTTTTAGGAGAATTCCAGAGAGTTGGAAGGAGGCTGTTGCTCTTGAGGAATTAGTTCTTTCTCCCAACCATAATTAACCCCTGCATCATTGCATGAGAGTTCATGGCAGATCATGTCTTGGAATTGTGTAGGTCCTATAACATGAAGCCAGGAACCATGTTTAACTATGGTTCCAGTTAAACTGTTTTTAATGGTTGGCCAGCTATGGTGGATACGGTTACCTGGGCTACAGCATTTTAAAAATAATTCTCCTCTCCACGCTAGCTGGTCACACATTATTATAAATTACTTTTAGCTGAAGCTCTATTTAAACACTTCAATAACTGTTCCTACCCCTTTGTGAATGGTCACTGGCTTCTATCTTCAGAAGTCTGTTTACCCACAACACCTAGGATGAGCAAAAAAGCAGCAGTGTGAAACCTCCATTAAAGACTTGCCCCTGCAACTTGCAGATCTGAAATTGATGTGCTGTATAAGAGATTCTGTATTAATATAAGGATGCTGGGATTTGTGGGTTTCGTGTACTGAAATTAATAATCTCATTCCTTGCGTAGGTGCCACTGACTGTATTTGGGAGCAGCCTGTGTTAGTGGTTCAGATCTTAGTTTCCTAAAGTATCTCACCCATGCAAAAATGTGTGTTATGCCTGCACTATATGGAATGAGCTCTCTTTTCTCATTGCAGCAAGATGCTGGTGGGTTGGCAACTGTAGGGCTATTAGGATTAAGAGAAATATTAAATTAGCCTTGCCTTATGTGGTATTGAAGTATGCGGTGGATATATTCCTATCTGTCCCCTACTTCCCCTCAAAGAAGAGGATGTGCCTTTCTCTCTGCCTGATGTACTGATAACTTACAGTAACTACAATTCCATTATAACTGATGGCATATATTACTTTAGCAAATCCCACTCTAAAAGGCTAAATTACAAGCCACAGTTGACCCAAGCCATCAGTATGACTAGCTAATGAAACAAATGTAGTGTACTGGGAATGGTTCAGATAAACACCAAAATAACAATATGCCATAATGTTTGCAGAAGCCTGGGGATGCTTCCTTCTACATACCACTTTCTTTTTTGTTCTTCACAAAGTGCCATGAACTAGAACAACTTGGAGAGCTTTTTACTGTCTTCATAGTACCTCATTAACAGACTGATTTCAACATCTGATATTTCTGTGTATTTTCTGCCAAGAGGAGCAGGTATCCTGCTATTCTGACAGTTCTTACTCCAGGGCCTGATCTCTGCAGGAATGAATTTCAGGAGCGTGCAGATATCGTGAACTTTTTTCTTTATTACAATAATTGATAATTAACAAAATCTGTAAATGGTCACTCTGTAAATTTGGGCTGTTGCAAATTTCTATAATTCTTAACCTATTTTATTGTAACTCTAGTGCAGAGTTTGGGTTCTTTTTTTTTTTTGCCTTGATTTTGTCCATTGTCACATTACAAGGGAGATTTGACTTAGCTCCCTGGTTGGATATGTCTAATTCCAAATAAGATCAGAACATTCCAGCATTGAGAGAGCAGTCGAAACCAACCTTATAAAAGTTTTATATTTGAGTGGCTGGGAATGCAATTGACTTGTGACAATTCAGTCTCTCCTGTGCTATTCAGTTTTTATATCCTTCTAGCAGACTAATCATTTACATTTTTTGTCTTTGAGAGATTTCACTTATTCCCCCTCCCACCCCGGACCCAGTTGATTTGAACAGTTCAGGAGTGCTCTGTCCAAAGGATGATCTGAGGCAGTCTTTTTAGATGTATACTTTTAGCACTCAAATGCTCTGTTCAGTACACAATGGTAGCTATTTATATGGAATTTCAACCAGAAAGGCCTCAATGCTCTGCTTTTGAGTGCCAAATTTGTGACCTGTAGAATTCTTGGTGCTACTTGGGTAAATCTGAACGAGCAAATGGACCTCTCTCTAAGCAAAGGAGTTCTCTAAGCCAGTTAAAGTGGGAGGGTGAGGAGGACTCATTTGCATTAGAGGACCCTAAGATGATCTGATTGAAGTGTGGTACTGAAACATACACTGGCAACTTGATTTTTATACTTAAAAGGAATTTGTATTGCAACTAACGATTTAAAATGATTTTTAAATTATGCAGAATTAAATTGTAATAAAGCTTTCTTGATCTCTTGCTGTTTTATTCACTCATTCCATTTTCATATTACAGTTGTTCTTAATCTCTTCCGTGGAAATCTGGAGACTTGAAATATAGCAAAGCAAATTTTGAACAAATTAAGAAGTTTAATTGTTCAGTCCAGTTTTAGTGATTGTAAACTGTGTGAATCTGATGTCTCTTTACTATAAAGATGCAAGATAATTCCCACTAAAATCCTGTTTCCACATGTGAATAACTATTATAGCACTCCCTATTAGGGCTGACACTTCACATTAAGACTTTTTCAGTTGGTTATAGTTTTGCCAACCTGTAACCATTTTGTGTGAAATTTTGTACGCCAGGTGTCTGAAGTTTTTTGGAAAATTTTAGACAGAACTGTTCAGCTGTTTTGAGAATGAGGCGGGGGCAGGGCAGCAGGGAAGGTTTTGCTTATGTTAAAATATTCTGATGACCCCATGCTTTGGACCAGAGATTTGAAATTTGGCAAGGGGTGGACTTTGTGTCAGGGATGTGCCTTTTGCCATTCCTGTGAAAATCCACTTATGTTTGGCCAATCTCTGAAGGTTCTGTCCTCACTGGACATACTGTATCCCTTCACAGCTGTTATGTGTGACCAGATTGCACAGGACAGCCCATGTGTGCAGTCTCAAAGAGGAGCAGCCTTTATAGGGAAAGTCTGACAACTGCTTTTGAGTGGGCTGGACACTGAAATTGAGAGCAGTGAGAATACAGGAAACACCTGCACCTCCTGTCACCCAGCCAAACTAAAGAAGGAAGGGGAGGCAGAGAGGATAAAAGCGAGACCAGAGGGGATGGAAAAGAATAGGCTGAGACAAGGAGTTGGGGGAGTGGGAGGAAACTTGGAGTAACTGGGCCAGGGCAGGAGAGGAAGTGGGAGGCTGGAACTGATCAGGCAAAGAGACAAACAGGGAGCCCAAATGTGTGTGGAAAGACTGGAAGCTGGTGAGGGAAATAGGGGTGGTGAAAACTTTAATTTGGTCACCTTGTGCATCTGCATTGATAGTCTTGAATTACATGATCACATATTTTTTCCATGTGACCCCTAATTCATTCAGTGCACAGGCTCAACCTACTGTGGGGATGAATTGGGATTATGTATTAAAGGAGGATGTTGCCTGTAGGATGCTGCTTCATTTGTTGCAGAAGATGGAAGGTATGTACTATTTGTAGCACCGGGACAGGGGATCACAGGAAGGGAATGGATGGCCTTCTGGTTAAGGCAACTGAATACCACCTTGGAAAACTGATTTTTATTCCTGCCTCTGCTATAATATAGAGTTCCTAATGTTAGGCAAATCATTTAAACCAAACTTTTCACAGGGGGTCACTAATTAATTCCTGAATGCTATGATGGGATACCTTGAGCTCTGATTTTCAGAAATGCTGAACTTAAAGCTATAACTGAAGTTACTGGGAGCTTTGCTAAAGTAATGTGCTAAATCAGGTGCTAGTTATCCCATATGAGGAACCTAAAATTATTAGAAGCATATCCACTATGCTTTAGTTTCCCATCTGTAAAATGGGGATAATACCATCCTTTCACTTCACAGGAATATTATGAAGATAAGTTAACAAGGCTACATACGGACCTTATAGCGGCACAGCTGTCCTGCTGTAAAGGTCCCCTGTGTAGCTGCTCTTTGCCAGCAGGAAAGAGCTGTCCTGCCGGCATAATTAAACCACCCCCAATGAGCGGGGTTAGCTATGTTGACAGGAGAGTGTCTCCTGCCGACTGCACTGTCCACACCAGAAATTTGTTGGTCAGGGATGTGTTTTTTTTTTTTTTTTTTTTCCCCCACACCCTTGATCGACAAAAGTGGTAGTGTAGTCAGCTTCTGATTATGAAGTACGAGATGCTGATCTCCTCCTTTGTAAAGTACTTTTGAGAGTTGGTGAAAGTGCCAGCTACTAGTAGTATAAATGCCATAGAAAAGCTCAGAAGGAAACTAACTACTTCAGAGCAGGAAATATGGTGAGGGGTGTGTGTGTGTGTGTGTGTGCGCTACATCTCGAACAATGAGGATAAAACAAAATGTTGACTACTGCTCACTAGGTGTGCACTGAATGAAGCAGGAGTCCTGTGGAAATAATATATAATTAAAGACTATCACAATGCATAAAGGTGCCCTCTCTTTGCCTGTTTTCTAACTTTGAGTGCTTGATATTGCAAACGCACAGCACTGCTACATTGCAATTAGGGCTGTTGATTAATTGCAGTTAAATCATGTGATTAACTAAAAAAAATTAATCACAATTAAAATCGTGATTAATCCACTGTTAATAGAATACCAATTGAAATTTATTAAATATTTTTGGATGTTTTTCTACATTTTCAAATATATCTATTTCAATTACAACACAATACAAAGTGTACAGTGCTCACTTTATATTTTGATTACTAATATTTGCACTGTAAAAATAAACAAAAGAAATAGTATTTTTCAGTTCACCTCATACAAGTACTGTAGTGCAATCTCTTTATCACAAAAGTGCAACTTACAAATGTAGATTTTTTTGTTTTGTTAAATAACTGTACTCAAAAACAAAACAGTCTAAAACTTTAGAGTCTACAAGTCCACTCAGTCCTACCTCTTGTTCAGCCAATGGCTAATGCAAACAAGCTTGTTTACGTTTATGAAAGATAATGCTGCCCACTTCTTAATTACAGTGTCACCTGAAAGTGAGAACAGGCGTTCGCATGGCACTGTTGTAGCTGGTGTCACAAGTTATTTACGTGCCAGATGTGCTAAAGACTCATATGCCTCTTCATGCTTCGGCCATCGTTCCAGAGGACACGCTTCCATGCTGAGGATGCTTGTTAAAAAAAATAATGCGTTAATTACATTTGTGACCGAACTCCTTCGGGGAGAACTGTGTATCTCCTATTCTGTTTTACCCACATTCTGCCATATATTTCATGTTATAGCAGTCTCGGATGATGACCCAGCACATTGTGTTCATTTTAAGAACACTTTCACTGCAAATTTGACAAAATGCAAAGAAGATTCCAATGTGAAGTTTCTAAAGATAGCTACAGCACTTGACCCAAGATTTAAGAATCTGAAGTGCTTTCCAAAATCTGAGATGGATGAGGTGTGGAGCATGCTTTCATGTCTTAAAAGAGCAACATTCTGATGTGGAAACTACAGAACACAAACCACCAAAAGAGAAAATCAACCAACTGCTAGTGGCATCTAACTCAGATGATGAAAATGAACACGTCAGTCCGCTCTGCTCTGGATCGTTATCAAGCAGAACCCACATCGACATGGACGCATGTCCTCTGGAATGGTGGTTGAAGCATGAAGGGACATGTGAGTTTTTATCGCATCTGGCACGTAAATATCTTGCAATGCTGATAGCAGCAGTGCCATGCAAATGCCTGTTCTCACTTTCAGGTGACACTGTGAACAAGAAGCAGTTAAGCATTATCTTCTGAAAATGTAAACAAACTTGTTTGTCTGAGCGATTGGCTGAACAACAAGTAGGACTGAGTGGACTTGTAGGCTCTAAAGTTTTACATTGTTTTATTTTTGAATGCAGGTTTTTTTGAACTTACAAATGTAGAATTAACTTTCATGATAAAAAGATTTCACTATAGTACTTGTATTAGGTGACTTAAAAAATGCTGGTTTTTTTTTACGGTACAAATATTTGTAACAAAATAGAGCACTGTACACTTTGTATTCTGTGTTTTGACTGAAATATATTTGAAAATGTAAAAAACAATAAAATACCCTTTATTTAAATATTTTTTGGATAACAGCATGATTAATTGCGATTAAAAATATTAATTGCCTGAGAGCTCTAATTAAAATGCCCCTGGGAGGTAAGTAGGTATTTAGCTATAGCTTTGTACATAGGAGGATACTTACCCCTAGGGGTATGTCTACACTACGAAATTAGGTAGAGTAGAAGTCTATTTTTAAAAAATCAATTTTATACAGTCAATTGTGTATGTGCCCACTAAGCGCATTAAGTTGGCAGAGTGTGTCCTCAATACTATGGCTAGCATCGACTTACGGAGCGATGCACTGTGGGTAGCTATCCCACAGTTCCCGCAGTCTCCACTGCCCATTGGAATTCTGGGTTAAGCTCCCAATGCCTGATGGGGCAAAAACATTGTCGCGGGTGGTTTTGGGTACATGTCA